TGAAGGAGATCTCATTTACCAATGCTGAGCAGAAATGAAAGCCATCAAATTTAGGACTGTCTTGTGCAACATGAAACAATTCCTTCAACAAATCATAAAAGTGCACATAACCACAAAAATCTGGCTGATAAATGTAACTCCACATGCTTCCCTTTTTTTAAATTTTATTTTACTTTTTTTCCCTCAGGTCAAAGCAAAAGGTTCGAATCAGATTTACAAGCCACTAAAATGTGGTTCTAAGAAAAACAGGAAAAACGGAAAGCTAAACACAACGGATGAGGTGACTGCCTTGGTTACTTGGAGACGAGTGGTCTGGAAGAGTCGTTTTCACCATCACTACACACATCTCGGCTGCTATATGGGTTTTATCTTTGTAAACACTTTAACAGGGAAGGGTGTTCGGCAGCACTGCGGGGAGGCACAACAACCTTTGAAAGCATCAGGATTCCTGGAAAAAAAGGTTCTCGCTAAAGAAAAAAAAGGAAAAAAACACTCAGAAGAACTCATGCAGGAATCTGCAAAACACTGAATATTGAAGATTTATGATTACATTCAATAGAACAATTTAAAGCCTGTGCATGCTTTTTTCTCATTATTTATCTAACGTTTCTGCTGAGGTTATCTAAAGAAAGAAAGAAGATGTATGCACGTTCCCTAATGTGTCCATATTTTCTGCTTCTGTGAACCTCGCAACACCCTGTTTCATGTTTTTTTTTTTCACACTAAAAAAAGCTTGATTTTCTGTATAATTTTAAGACATTGCAGTTCCTGTCATTCATGCCATTTGGTGCCACTGTCAAACATGTGTTTACTCTGCTTGAATAGAGGACTTGGAGGAATTATCCAGCTCTCTCCAGTAGCCGGTACTACCTGTTGGGCTCCGATTGGTCATCTTAGTCAGCAAAGTCGTTCTGCGAAGGCTACTGTCTGAGTCTTCTTTCTTGAAGTCGGTGTTGATTTTGCGGCAACACGAGAAGCACTGCACAAAATCCTGGAGGAGGTGGCCACTGAAGATCATGTATATCCACGGGTTACAGCAGCTGTTGAGACTGGCAAGGAGTGCAGACAGAGACACTGCTGTGTTCTCTGAATCTGGAGAACAGAGAGAGGAAGGAGGGAAAGGATGATTAATTCGCAAAACATCTGGTACAGGCTGTAGAAATGCCTGTTTAACTCAGTGCCTCTGGTGTCTAAATGCTGCCTAAATGTGCCAGACTCTGAAAGTTACAAAGGTGTGCCAAAGTTAGAAGAAATCTCTGTTACAGATCCAACTAGTTTTAAGACTTTTGGAATAAAATGTAATTTTCATAATATAAGCAAAAGGCGGTAATCCACCTCCTCAAACACTGACACTTAGTCAGATAGATTTAAGTATAAATTCCTTCTCTCTTCCTACATCTGAAACACTTTGATTGGAGGATAATGTGATCTGTTGGTGTCTTCACTGTCACAGAGTTCCTCACACCAGTAACAAAGGAAGCGACGATAAATTAACCAAAGGAGCTTGCAAAGAAAACTGAGAACCTTCACAGACATGACGATAAATTAACGCATTTAAAAAATGACAGGATCTGTTTTCACTGCAGCCACGGTCATTTTCTAAGCCAAGACAAGAAATTTTGGTGCCTAAAATTATAAGGAAAAAAACTACAATGAAGACGAGGAAAGCTATAAACAGTGGTCCAACTCAGGGAGGAGTTTGTTTCATCAGCTGCCAATATAGTAGGCCCATACAGTTCATTTAGTGCCAGGACATGAGTTTATAGAGCTATATAAATGATTGTTGTTGTTTTTTACCTGCAATCATTTGCAGGTTTATGACATATATAACAACAACAACAACAACAACAACAACAACAACAACAAAACCTACGATGGTGCTTTTTTAGAACTTCCCCAAATTTCTACAAATTTGAGTTATATTGCACTTTATGTTGCACTTTATGGTAGGGCAGAAAAATACTAGAAACCAGAATTTGAAAATGTGTAAATGTGAATCATCTGTAAATTTCCTGTAAAATTTACTCTCACTGAGAGCTTTGGGCCCAATTTTTGTGGGCTTTGGCCTTCCAGCTAACTACCACAATATCTGACTTTATCATCTAATTGCAGTTGTCATTGTTTGTGTTTGAGTTGTTGGAATTATCCATCTCACTGGGACTTCAAAAACTTTATTTCAAAACAAAAGAGATAATAATGGAAAGTGATACAGCTAACCTAAGGATTTTACACGTAAATTTTTATTCTTAACATTCACCCCACACACACCTACCCATCCCAACACCGTCACCAAAAGTTAACAATTGAATTCAGCCAAGAACGGAATGAACTTATCAGCTAGCCAGCAATAATTAATTCTACTGATCCACAGTCAGACTGATAAACTTTGAACAAAAGTCTGAAATATTTTTCTGTGAATTCACTTTTTAAAAAACAGGTTAAAATACTTTAAGTAAGGCAAAAATAGGGCATTTGATAATTAGTGCAATAATATAGTATTGCTGTATTAGTACCATATAAATTGTATAAAACAGGTTCGGCTAATGTGACTTAAAACTTTTGTTAAAAAAAGATGTAATCTGATTTTAGACAAGAGGAGATAAAAGGGAAACACCTTGTGGACAGGACAAAATATGTTGCTTGCACATAATTTATACTAGTGGCGTGGTTTTAAAGCGCCATAACATTTCACCACTTAACGTCTCAAAATGCAGATGCAGGGTTTTTTCCTTCCTAAATCTCCCTGGAAAACTCGGGGTTTCGAAACCTAAAATTCTCCAAATGGACACGTACGGAACATAAGATTTCATTTATTTGGTGAAATGTCGTTGTGGGTGTGCATGTGAGCGCGTGTGCGTGAAAGGTTTGACACTGTATACGTTTTAGATTAGTATGTTTACACGTTTTGGTTTTGTTTGTCAAATAAGTTCGTGCGTAAAGGCGCGCAATTCGTGGATTTTTTTCCCTTGCGCAACGCGATTCTTAAGTTTCTGTTCATTTTCTCCCCTTGCAATTCTCAACATTTTTAGAACGATTAAAAGTGTGACATTTAATAAGTATTTTGTTCATTTATAAGCACTCACCATCCCACTGGAAGTTTTCATCCCACACAGACCACATCTGCACGATGAAAAACGGTGCCCAGCAAACAATGTACGCCAAAACGATCACAAAAGTCATTTTAACGGTTCTCAGTTTGGCTCTTGAGATAGTTGTAACGCTGCTGACCGAGTTCTTTCCAATCAGTCCATTCCTGCTTGCCGCACCAGCCGTCGTTTTTCTTTTCTTGTATTTAATATTCTTCCAAATACTGTGGCAGATAAACCCGTAGCACATCATGAGAAGGACCACGGGCACCAGAAAGATGCCCACGGTTATCCAGGTGATGTACGCCCTGGCGCCCCAGGGCTCGATAAAGCGCGCCCAGCAGTCGTAGACGCCCGAACCGTTCTGGATCTCGCTCAGGGAGAAGATGAAGTACTGTGAACAGCTGAGCACCAGGCTACATATCCACGTGGAGATGATCATGATGTACGAGCGTCGTGTGGACTGCTGTAGGGTTTTCAGAGGGTGGCAGATGGCAATGTAACGATCCAGGGTCATCATCACCATCATATAGGTGGACGCAAACATTCCCATCACCTGGAGGTGCTTCACAATCCTGCAGAGAAAGTCTGGGCCGTAGAAGCGGAAGGTGATTTCCCAGCACAGCTGTGGCAGCACCTGGAAGAAAGCAACCACCAGATCGGCCAGGCTCAGGTGTTTGATGAAAAGGTGCATTCGCGACATCTTCTTCTTTGTGTTGTACATGGCCAGCAGGACGCTTACGTTCCCAATCACAGCAACCACGAAGGTGATGCTCAGAACCATTATCTCTATTTGTGCCACCTCCTCGTTCCTTGCAAACGGATCTGATCCGTTATGCTGGTCGGTGCCGTTTCCAGACGTTCCCATCATTAGGTCAGTGGTGACAGTGAACACCAAAGTCTGGTTCTCTTCGTTCAGGAGCATACGTTTGTCAGGAGCGTACATGGCACTGCCCCTCTGTGCGCCCTAGCAAGACTTAGTGCCAGAGGGGCTGCAAAGTGCCTCTCCAATCCGTATATGGAGCTACCTGGCGCCCGTAGAGAGAAACTCGTTGCTTTGTGAATTGTGTCTCCTGTCAGCGCTTTTTAAACTCGAGTCAAATTTCAGACTGCGTGCGCAAAGCAGGATGCACTGCAAAAACATGAGGCACCTAATGATTAATTTAGATTGTGGCAAGCACACATTAATTCAAATAAAATGTAAAAATAAATGCAAAATGAACACAGACATCAATGAGGGATACTTTTCAGTGAAGATGTACCCAACGCAATCTAAAGTGTTCAAACATGCGAAACGTGCGTTTTCTTGAAACTGTGTTTGAATATCAGCATAAATATAATCAAGCCAAAAATGATCCGTGCTGCGTTTCCGATTCCTTGTCTTGCTTTGGAGACAAAAAGTTTAAAATGTGACTTCCACAACATTATGGCTAAAAAAAACATTTTTTTGCAGTGCAGAGCTAAGCCCTTCCGGATGCTTTACACAACATCCACATCACCACAACTCCGCGTAGGTATTGTTTATTAGGACCTTTTGTGGGTATTAAAAAGTCACAAAATGTGCTGAAAATGTAAAGTGTTTAAAGTACAATGAACTGAGTAACACAATTTTTATTTACAAATTTTTTTCATACACTTTATGAATATTTGAGGTCCAATAAGAAAAGACAGTCCCACCCAACAGTTCACAAATAACATTTAAATGCTTTTTCCCCCAGCATAATAAGCTTTGCAGAGGAATTGTTATAAGGTAACTGTAGCTGAACCTGCAAACATTCGGGGCTCTAAATGTGTTGCTGTGATGTTGCTTTAATAGGAATGTGTTGGGCAACAGGCTGGAATGTTGTTTTTGTTAAAGCCCAGATAAAAACCACACTTAAAAAAACTGTTTAAACTGAACTGTGACTTGGTTTATTCTGTGATTAATTAATTCCTAGCTGAAAGAAATTCTCTTACTAATGATTAATAACATTAAAATTAACTTATTTGCTGCAGTTGATTGTTCTTGTGAATCTGCCTTCTCTGCACTTTTAGCTCCAGTTTCAGTCAGGTTTCCAGCAAATGACTTACTCTTAGCACAAAGTGGTTTTAGTTTAAACAATCAAAATGCACTGAATTCATTTCTGAAAGAAATATTTGAAGGAATTTACTGTTCAAACTTGTGAAGAGGTTTGCTAATGTTTTCAGGAAGCTATCCTGTTTTAGCTTTCTGAGCTGCTACACAAAAGTGTTCAAAGGTTTGTTTGAAGATGCCAAAACATCCTAAATATTGTAAGTTTTCAGTGCTTTGAGCAACAGGTGCATATATTTCCAAATACACGTTGTAGGATATGATTATAAAGAAACTTTCAGCGCATGAGTGGGAACAAAAGATGGAGGTGAAGACGGCCTAGTGCAGCTCGATGGGGATCAAACATTATTAAATAACAAAGGAAAAGCACATTTATCAAAAGGATTTGATTTTTTTGCTTGACATCACCGCGGTATTCTGCCCTGCCTGCAACCTTTTCACTGCATCACCTCTGGCTCTCTTGTCCTCCACAGTTTAACCTCTACTGTTGCTTTCTTATTTCTGTTGTTGGTGACGTTTCCAGGTGACCCATAATGTAACTTGAGTATCCCAATTTCTATTAAAAAAAGCACATGATTGCAAACTGGTTGCGGATGTCTGGCAGCAATTCATCTTATCTGATCCATGTGCTGATACTGAGGATGGTTATCTTTATTGTGTTTACATTGCACCTATCATCCAGATCTGCACTTTCATTTCCGGTTGAGCTCCAATTATGAGCACTGCAAACTGGAACTCTTATCCTAAAATTTCCTGTGCACTGGTTAAACTGGTTCACTGTTATAATTAAGTTTTCTCAGCGACCCAAAGTCAATTTTTTGACAATCTTTCCATCAGAATCATAAGCAAGGGTAATTTCTGTTGTCCAGCAAAACTGCTTCCTCTCTGGGAGCCCTGATTATTATCCATCCACATGCTCTACAGCAGCCTTAGCGGATCTTGAGGGGTTCAAGGACAGTATAATGGATGTCTCCCTTCATGCTGGACAGACACATTTTTCTCATCTTCTGTTTTTAAATATGTTCACATATGAAACATTTTGTGCTGTTATTACAGCTCCAGGCTTGATTTGTCCCGTTGGTTACAAAGCATGACAGCTCCGTTCACCAACCTAAACTGCGTGTTGCGTGCCTGGGCTCAGGAATCATGGGAATGCACGTTGTGTCTGCAGTAACCAAAGCAGTCAGTCTGAATCACGTCTGATAGGTTTGTAGCTTGAACCTATTCGCTGGAACGTTGAAGACAATATAATTACACAGCAAGCAAGACACGAAGTAGGCAAAGTTCTTCATGTTTCTCATGCACGGGAGAGAACCGGACAAACGCCGTTCCTTCGCTTGACCCCAGTTGCTCTCGTCCACTCCCCCGTAACACTGCTCTTTTATCGAGGTTACATGAATATGCATAGGTTCATTAACATATGACGTCTACATACAAACAAAGAGTACCTTGCCTGTGTGTGTGTGTGTGTGGTCAGAGTGTGACCCCATAAATGACTTCCCTAAACCTGCTGGTCTGGAAGTCCAGCGGTTCATCTAAACAAAAGGCACTTAGCCTAAAACAGATACAGCCACGTTTATCCTGCTATAAAACAATAAAACAAGGTATGACCTCTCCCATGCTCCCATCCAGTGTGGAATACACACCAAGCCTTTGCAGCCTGCTAAAAATCACACATCCTATCACTACACAATCGATTATACACCTCTAAGCATATATGGTTAAATATTTCTAAGCATAAATGACAATCAACAATACAAAACCTAACAACGTCTGTGATGCTTCCCTCTCATTTGCAGGAGTATGTTTCAATAAGAGCTGCTCAGACTCTTTGAGCATTTTGGATTTTCTTTTGTTTGGTTTGTTTTAATGAGGGATAAAGAAATTTGTCAAGGAATTCAAACAATGGATGCCACAATGCGTTGTCCAAACCATCTTCTTGAGGTGTGTAGCTTATACTATTAGTGGTTTGGGACTCAGAGTGGATTTTAAAAATTCCTTTCATTCTGTTGTTTGTACTTTCTCCGAAATGTTTAGCTTTGCCATCCATGCTCATCCAATTAAGATTTACGGGGGCTGGAGCCTATCCCAGCTACCATAGGGCTGCCATAGGGCATAGGCCCCATGGCAGCCCTTTAGGACAGACCGAAGACACGCTGGAGAGATTACATCTCTCAACTACTTTAAGAACTCCCTTGTGTCTCCCTTCAGAGGAGTTGGAGAGGGACATCTCTGCTTAAACTGCTGCCTTGGGGTCAGACAAGCATCAGGCAATGGGGGGATGGATGGTGGATTTTGCTGTTGAGAGTGTTTTTAATTACAGGTCAGCAATCTTGATTACAGTTGCTAAAAAAAGACTAGTAATTAAAAAATACATTAAAAAACATTTGATGATGGTGCACGGTTGAGCAGTGGTTAGCACTCTTGTTTCATAGCAAGAAGATCCTGCACTGAAAAAAAGGCCATGTTGGATTTACTTAATTCGGTAGTGGACATTAGTTGCACACAACCGTTTTGCTTTGGCAGACACTTAAACAACTGAGATAAATCAACACAACTTATTCATATTCAATAAACCTGTGCATTTTGTGTTGATAAAACACGATTGAAACATGTTTAGATGAAGTAAAGTGAGCTCTTGGTATATTTTTATCCTTTGCAATTTTGTCATTTTATTTTAACACTATTCAATAACTTTTACCCCAATACTACTCGGTCACTTAAATACTACATGTTGTCTTCATATTACATAATTTTCAACAAAGTCTAGAGTCTGGTTAACATAAGAATTGAATAGATCTACAACGACCGTCCTCCTCTCTTTATCCAGGTTGCAGGAAGGCTGGGGCATAATCCAGAAATGATAGGGTAAAAGGCAGGGTACACCCTGGACAGCATTTGTGCTCACATTCACAGGTAATTCAGAATCACAAATTAACCCAACTTTAACAACTGCATGACTTTTAACCAGTGTTGGTCAAGTTACTTGAAAAAAGTAATCAGTAACTAATTACTGATTACCTCCCCAAAAAAGTAATCCCGTTACTTTACTGATTACTTATTTTCAAAAGTAATTAATTACTTAGTTACTTAGTTACTTTTTAAAAACACAATTTACAACCTGAATAGGTGATAAAGCGATAGATCTTTCAGCCCAATTCTACTTTTTCTACATAATCCATCATACAAAATGTAATCAAATGGAAAAGTCTCTTTTTAAAACTTGTTTTATTAGTTTTAACCTTTTAAACTTTATGCATCAAGCAAAAATTAAATTATATGCAACATTCTCTGACTGGAAGAGATTTGTTTAACATTTAAACCTATTTTCTACACATTCCAGCACATAAAATAAAATATTTTTTGTGTTTACACTCAGTCTTTCAAATAGATGCAAGTAAAACACAGCAGAAAATAAATAAAATCAAAGACTAGCGGTCCTGTTGCTCTATTTTCACCTGTAAAGTAGGCGGAGGTGTGCTTTGGTGCAGTCAGTGGAAGAATCCACGAGTTTCTCTGTGTTTCCCATTACGTCGTAGCGCAATCGGTGCTTGCTCGGAAGTTTAGGGGTTTTTCTTCGGTGTAAAAAGAAGTTTTCTTCCCACGCACAACGGACGCTAATGTTTTTGTCACTTTTTATGGAATCAAAGTTAAAGTAAGGTCAGTACTTCCACGCTCATACTCTCTCCTGCACTGGATATATTATCCATTGTTGATCTGCACACAGCTGTTGTCACAAACGTCGCACTTGCTGACGTCACTGTCATGAGACATTCTCGCAAAAAAATCACGGTTTTAGTAACGCAGTAACGCAGCGTTCCTACGGGAAAGTAACGGTAATCTAATTACCGCTTTTGCAATAGTAATCCCTTACTTTACTCGAAAAAAGCAATCGGATTACAGTAACGCATTACAAGTAACGCATTACTGCCCATCTCTGCTTTTAACTATGAGAGGAAGCCAGAATACCCAGAGAGAAACCAGTGCAAACTAGCCAGATTGTG